GGGGAAATAGTTTTACTTTGTGTAATGGCCCATCCACTCCCAGTCTTTATTCAAGCCTAATTTAATGGTGTCCAATTTGCAAATTAATTCCAATTCATCAGTCTCTCGTTGGAGTCTGTTTTTGACTTTTTTTGTTGTAATATTGTGACTTTTAGGTCTGTAATCGAGTGGCCAGGGAGTGTTCTCCAACTGGTTTTTGAATGTTATAATTCTTGACGTCTGATTTGTGTCCATTTATTCTTTTACGTAGAGACTGTCCAGTTTGGTCAATGTACATGGCAGAGGGGCATTGCTGGCACATGATGGCATATATCAGCTGTGTAGAAATAATGAAAGAACCTTCCCTATAAACAGGGTCCCCACATATATGCACAGTCACGAAATAATAAAATACAGTGATGCTGATTTCATTAAAACTAAAATATTTCTTGGTGAATGACCTTTTGGCAGGTAAATGGATTACACTGTATTTACTTCCAAACCATTTTGTATGATTAAAAAAGAGATAAATCCTGTTAGATACTAAAATTTGATTAAAATGCAAGTTTGTAGCCTTGTACTAAAAGCAGGGATGCACTATAAGGATTTGAACATTTTTCTAAGTGTGTCAGAGGTGACAGGCCCTCAATATTGAGATACTTTGGCTGTATAAAAAGACCTAAGACAGAACAGACTCCTCATGTCAATGATGGCATGTTATAAAATTAAACAGACAAATCATGTCTATAGGCATGATGTCAAAGGAATGCTGTCTTGAGTGGAAGATGTTACATGTCACATGAAGTGCCCGAGAACTGTTTAAAATGGCCCATCCTATTAAATAAAATATCTTTCAAATATGACATTTCCTAACGCTTCCTTTCTCCCCTTCGTACTCCTTCACCTTTGAGGTTCGTTCTGTCTAGCTCTTTCTTCTTTTACTCTTACTGGCCATTATCTACTGCCACTCCTAACTCCCCATCCTCCTTTTTCACTTGTCTTCACCTCCCAGGTGCTACATAATCTTCTCTTACGTACATCACTGATCTAATTTTTCCTGCTCCGTATTCGCCTCCCAAACCTTTCTCTCCTTACTACTGCATGCATCTCCTTCCTCTCCCAGCTTTATTCTTTTACTGAGGTTGCCCCATATTCTTGGAAACATCTTCCTGTTTTTATCTACCAACCACCCTCTCTTTCCTTCAGATGCCTCCTTAAATCCCACCTATACCAAGAAATCTTCCTTCCTCCTTCTAATCTCCTGTAATGCCTCCACCATTTCTAATCTGAACCAAAACTCAATTCAAGTCAAGTAAAATTTAATTATTGTACTGTGCTGCACAGGTCAGATCAAATCAGTGGCTTGACCTTGAAGGTGTAGCGCATATAACATATATACAAAGAGCATGGAAAACCCATTCTTCACCGGGAGAAATGCACATCTGAGTGTCTTCTCTAGCGATCGGGATTGAATGTTCTGGCTGAGCCCCACATCCAGAAAAGGGCGACTGAAGAGGGAACAGAATGGAGTGGTGAAAGAGAGAAAGAGTGAGTGCTGATGGTTGTTTGAGGCTGAATGGAAAAAGAGACTGGTGAAGGTTGGGCCACAATGGAGAGAGTGGTTGCGGAGGGAGAGGGAGGGAAGCAGAGAGATTGGAGAGGCAAGAATAGGAAAAATGACCAGAGGAAGATCTCAATTGTTGTGACACTTACTAGCCAAGAGCAATGTGACTAGTCCGGGTAAGATTCAATGGCAGTATCATAGTAGGAGGCCCAAACCACGCACTCTTGGTAGCCAGGAGGATGATGCACAAAGCATTTCTCGCTAACTGAGAAATTAATTGCTCCTTCACCCCACTTCAGGAGTGGCAGCACCTTTCCTATTGGCATTTGTCTACTAGAGTCAGTTTTCTAGCTTCTATGTATCAGGTATTTTTTTAAGCCCTGTAACGTGTAAAAAAAAAATGGCTACAAAAATTGTGATAATCATATTTCTTTGTTATACAACCAAGTTGGAGATCCAGGTGGTTCTAGGAAATTAACCTTTCCAAAATGTACTACCCTGCGTTATTTTATCTCTTTTCAAGGGGTGCGCAAGCTAAGTTGCCAAGGAATTGTTTTAGCACTATGAGAGGTAGAAACAAAGGATCTGAGTTCATACTTCTGACCTGCTGAGAGAGAGCGATGTCTCTGCCTTCAGGGCCCACAAAATTTTGAACTAAGTCAATTGGAAGCGTTTTCTGTTTTTTCAAGTTTCAAAACAGAAACTTGTAAATTGCTAAAGAGCACTAACTCCACTGTACGCAGAAACTGTGCAGATGGTATACCATGGCTGATTGGTTTCATGATCCCATGCATCAGCATGTGGAATCACTTGAGGTAAAATAGGCATAAAACAAGTTTAAATTACTTTGAAGCTGTCTTTAAAAAGAAAATATACAAGTGTGACCATTGACGTTTGCTGTTTAATATAAAGAGCATAATGTCTTGACTCCTTAATACTTTACATGGAATGGCTTGACTTGCACTTACAAAAGATCACATAGTTATTACTTGCTCAATCCTCAGGAAAATAATGGAAATATACATTTTAAATGTAATCTTTTATTCTCAGTTCACTTCCATTGCATGCTTATTGTTTTCTTCTTTTCAGTGTAATCTATATTCAGAGAATTAGCACAATGTATAAAAGGTGCTGGATAGAAAACATTTGAGACTGGCTAAATTGAACTTTACCAAATACTTCAGCAAAGAACTCTCAGTGCTGCCTTCAGCTTTGGTGGTGACATTTACCAAAAACAAAAATGGGAGTAAAGTGAAAAGTCTCTTTTAGTATTTATAGCCCTCTATGCACTTTGTGATGCTCAGGCTTAAAATGCAGTTAGGATGAGAAAAATGATGCCTTACAAAGTCATATCTGCTTAGTTCAGATGAAAATAAATGTTCACTCCTGACAGCATCTCAGAACGAGCACATCTTTGGATGTTCTACAGGCTGTTGCCAACCAAGGGTTCATTATGGCAGTTCAGAGACATTAAAGCCCAAGTCATGCCACCCTACACAAACAGCCATGAGCAATGTTGAGTGTCGACTCATAGGATCCATCTGTGGCTCCTCAAAGGACTATATCATGTCTTTCATACAAAATGGACCCCCAAATACATTGCAGAATAAAATAAATAGAGTTAAAAGGAAGAACTAGAGAAAAATGATATTGTCAATGAGATTTAAAAAGAGGTGGAAAGTGGATGGGGAAGCATGCTAGGGAAAGGCTGACCAAGATAGCCGAAACTGGCAGGAAGAGGACACTCGCCTCCAAGTGGCCAGGTGTGGTGGAGAACGAGAGCGCAGTGGAGGGAACAGAGAGAGTTATCCTCTACAGACTGAAGCAGCTTGTGACCTGGAGTGCCTAGGGCAGCTCTCAGAGAAAATGCCAAGATCAGGGCAGGCTGCAAAAAGGAGAGCAGAGTCTCCCAAAACTGGTGGCTAACACTGAAGTTAGACTCACCAACCAGTCATAAACTCTGCTCCTGATCCCCCACACTGGTTACCGAGAAGCTGAAAAATGAAATCACACAGCACCCATTCCAGTTCTCAGCCTCCCAATTAGCACATAAGTCCAGTAAAGTGAGAAGTTCGGCTCACTTATACAAAATGTTCTTCTGACCCCAAAGGGCCAGCCACCTCACCAGGTCAGTATCAGTCTGGATCTCACCCAAAATACCACACTGCCAGACAATCCTTTAGCATCTAAAACTAAAGGTTTATTATAAAAGAAAAGAAGAAGAAGAGAGTTGTTAAATGATAAAGCAATCAGATACATACAGAGACTTCAAAGTCCATATATCAGGTTCTTAGCAGTATTGGTGAGTTTGTTGGCTTGAAAGTCCCTCTCGAACACATCCAAAGCTTGGATGGGTCATTCCATCATTTGTTCAGAGCTTCAGTTTGTAGAAAAGTTGCTCCGAAGGTAAGAAGGATTGAAGATAAATGGAGATGATGCAGCTGCCCTTTATATTCCTTTTGCCATGTGGTTTGTACTTCCTGTGTCTCAAACACAAGCTTCACAGCACATGGCATGGAAAAGCCTTAGAGTTCTCTGTCCACCAGCCTGCCCGTACATGCCTTGCTGAGTCATAGGGTATATCCCCTGGCTCCTTTCAATGGGTTCATTGTACAGCTGATGGGCCATTGAACAGGCTAGGCAATGATGATGCCAATCTGTCTGGGGGTGTCACCCAGAAAAACAGCACAAGTTTGGAAATACAGATATACCATACATATCTATAACTCACAATACAAAGGTGATACAAACATATAAACAAGATTACCATACTTGGCAAATCATAACATTTTCACTGACACCTTTACACAGCATATCTGGCACAATTCATTGCAATTTTATAATATTGGTATTAATAATAATATAAAGTGTCTCACAATTCCATATAGCGTCACACAGTCCATGGAGGGAGGAGTTTTTAATCCGATCCTGGAAGAATGGAGAACCAGTGGAAAGATGGAAAGGGGAAGGTGGATCTGGTTGCACTTCTGTTTATTTGAGAAGGTTGACAGCAGTGAGACCAGGGCTAGGACTTAGGGACACCATGGGGAAAGGGAGATTTTTCTTTAGTTAGTTCGCTGCAGGAGGACCTTTGTGAGAGAGGGTATGGAATGTAGGGTAAATCTGGCAGCCCCTTTGTTCATGAGAATCTGTAATTTGCAGGTTTTGCAGTGCGAAAGGTCCTCTTTTTAACGTATTGCTGTATTCCGTACATCCGTTTCCAGACTTAGCGTGATATTTTAAAAACACCAAATAAAATTTAAGTTTAAAAACGAATCGCAGCTTATTACTGACATGGAGATCTGAAACAGTGGAGCACAAGTCTATCATGCAGTACACAAAGCAGTGCTTCAGACAGATCAATTATTTGTTGTCACTGTCTACTTTTGTGAATGGCTGAACTTTAATTCAGTTTAATTTAATTGTCGATATATTTTTGTTCTTTTCCCTTTGGTAGGTTGTCGCTTATCATTACTGCCAGGCCGATAATGCCTACACCTGTCTTGTGCCCGAGTTTGTACACAACGTGGCAGCGCTGCTCTGCCGCTCGCCACAGTTTGTCGCCTACAGGGAGCAGCTGCTGCGGGAACCACATTTACAGAGCATGCTCAGCTTGAGATCCTGTGTTCAGGATCCCATGGCCTCCTTCCGGAGGGGAGTCCTAGAGCCCTTGGAAAATCTTCATAAAGGTACTGTGATTGAGACTATTTTTAACTCTTATCAGCCTGCGAATTTTTAACTTAGCTTTTCTTTGGGGGTGGGCCTCCAAACTAAGGAGCACATGGATTCCACGTGTGAGCCCCTAGTGCACTAGGAAAATTCAAGAGTTGTAGAAGAGAAGGTAGGACTTAGGGAGGCTGAGAATACACCAAAAGACTCTTGTTTTGGTTGTAACTCCTCTTCCAACCTAGTCCTTCAGTTGTGTTTTCCAAGGCCATGGAGGGGGTGCTATTGTTAGTGAGCACTTGACTTTGAGCACATTTGGTTTCATTCACATCCAAAATTTAGATTAAAAGATCTGAAAATGAATGCTGACAACATTTGCCTTGCACAGCTGTGCTTAGAATAGCATGTTTGCATTCATTTGTTAGGTCACTAACTTTTTTCTCCACTCAATTACCCCTCAGAAATTCATTATTTAATCAGCTCTTGGGAATTCTCAGCCTCCAAACAGAAATGCTGACAATATACAAGTCTGTAGATAACTTACGTAAAGCTGCTTTGGGCAACTGGGTAACAGACCATATCCTAATTACTGACTCTGGAGATATAGCAAAAACCCTTCAGGACGTTTCCATTTTCCCACATGCAGTGTCAGCTGTACCTGCTCCTCTTTCTTTTGTATACAAGAAAGATGCAGTTAGTTTTTCTTAATAGAGTGATTAACTGTAAAACCTTTGACCTTCATAGCCATGGACACTAGTCAAGTGTGGGTAGAGTTCAGAACTCTGTCCCTCTCAAAACCATGTTTATACAAATACTGCATTGTGTAATATGGGCTGCGGAAATTGTTCAACACGATTGAATGTTTCACCCCAATGCAATAGATGGATCAAAGTGATCTAAACACCACTCCAGTCATATTTAGCAGCTTGTTGTTCAAATAAAGTCGCTACTTTGAAGCTGAGTGTCTAGATTCTAAATACTGACTTCAGTACAGGCGCAAAGAGACTATAAAGACGGCTCAACTGTCCAGCTGTGAATTCCCCTGGCTTGGGGAAATCTCTGAGTGGCATCACCCTTTGCAACCACCCCTGTTGGAGATGTGGCTGGCAGCAAGAGAAGTAATCTACAGCTGTTATAATGACACCTGGGGGGCCATTCCAGATGACGTAACTTAGAGCAGTTCTGAGGATGCTGTAAATTATGCTGCCATCCAAACTGATCCCCATCTGGCACCTAAGATCAGGGAAAAACAAAGGTTATGTGAAGCCAGGTTTTTCCTCTTGTGCCTTTCCCCGAGCACAGCTCAGCTGGATCCGGGGATCAAGACCCCAATCTTTCAGTGTTGCTGATTAAGATTGTTGGCAAACTAATTTGTACCAAGTGTTTTGTAACAAAATGAACATCATATGGAAATTGGTTTAAGAAAATATGTAATATACAAGAATTTGTAAATATAGCAACAGATCCTTTACAAGGTGCTGTTGAAACTTTAAACAGTAATTTCATTGTTATTAATGCTGAATATTGCTGACAAACTGAGATTCACATTTTTCAAATGTATTTGAGTTTCAAGTAATATAAACAACTTGTAGGGGAACAGTGACCTTATTTCCTTCTCCTCCCCATGCCCCATATAAGCTTTAAGAGAAACATGAGATGTGGATGTAAAAATCAGGCTTCCATCGTATTTGCTCCAAGGTGAGAGAGTCGTAAGGACTATTTCCTAGTGTGCCCTGTAATCCTGCTTAAAAGTTAAGTGAAAAAACGTATGTAATGATTTTAATGCAAAATAAACACCTTTTCTGTACAGATATTAACAGTAAATGGAGAAATAAAAAAAGATAATAATAGGATGATGAGATTTAATGTGTAGCTTCTCTGAAGGTACATTTTGTACTAATTTCTTTATTCCCTGAAACACCATTGGGGCTACTCTTTTCACCACTGTACCATTTATTTTAAATTTAATTTTAAGTGATTAAAGGGGAAAAGAAAAAGCTAACCCGCTAACTGTAATGCCTAACTTTCATAGCACAGTCCATCTGTGGTGCTTCACAAAGGAAGGTTAACACTGTACAGGTGGGGATCATGAGTGTATTGCAAATATAAATCAACAGCACTTCTCAGGAATAGAACCAGGTCTCCTAACTACCAGTCCAAAGCCACATTCACTAAGCAGCACTGACTTCCAGAAAGGTGCAGCTTGCACCACACCCTAAATGTGGCTAGACAAAGGCTCTGATGGACTTGCCAGAAGAAACAAATTCAAGCTATCAGGTATGCAATAAAAAACCTGCAACACCAAGTCTCAAAGCCGGGGTCAGCTGACTTGGGCTCAAGCTGTGGGGCTATAAAGTTGCAGACTGGAGCCTGAGTTCTGGGACCCTCCCCTGTCATCAGCCCTCTCGAATGTCTACACTGCAATTTTATAGCCTCTCAACTCAAGCCCCATGAGCCCGAGTCAGCTGACATGGGCCAGCCGTGGCCGTGCCATGGGTCTTTTATTGCAGACTTTCCCATGAGGACCCTTTACTGAGAATGCCCTGCTCTTTGCCCTGGGGACACACAGCAAGAGCATTGTAGTCCCTTGTAGCTGCCATGACAGAGCATATATGGAGTTCCCTCTGAAATAAACAGGTCTTTGGCCATTTAGTTTGAACTGCCATAATACAATCTTCAGATGGGTGATCAGGTGTTAAAAATAGCAAATAGTCGAATTAAAAGGAGCAATATTTTTTTAACTGCTCATTAAATATAAAATATGATTTAATTTACTGCTAAGAGAAAAGAGGGTAATTTATAGGGAGCTGATGCAAGGAAAATCTTAACTGTATTAGAAATTAAATGCTCCTGTTCTTTTGTGTTGTACAAGAGGGTCCATTCCCTTTGGGAGGAGAGAAAATTAAGGTGTCTTTCCATTTTCCAAGCTGATACATGAGATGTCTCATTCAAGTGGTCCCCATACAGAACTGATTCATGTTCATGACCCATACTCTCAGTTTATAGCTCTTGTAATAGCCACAGGAGTCAGTGGATACTGTCGCGTGACATGGTTATTATTAACCTTTTGTAGCTCTGAACCAGTTAGAAAACTGGGGCCAGGAAATACACCTGTTCCTTGTGTCCCACCTCTATTATACCTTCTTTGCCTGCCTGTTTCTTGTCTACAGATTTCAGCTGCAGCAAGATGACCACAAAAATTGGTTGTCTTTAATGCAACATAGTACAAAAAGTAATCTGAGCAGTTAAAATTCTTCCCTTGTTATCTGATGTGCTAATGGCTTGAAAATGTCTTGTCCTGCTGTCAGTGTCTACTTTTGAAGAAAGAATGCAACTATCTTTTGTACATGTACAATAGTGCACTAAATATGTCCCTGGCTAGAATTTTTTTAATATATTACTAGACAGTATTATACAGTGAAACTTGTCTTAAGCAGCCACCAAAGGGAACACCAGCAGTTGGCTCTCTCTTAAAGGAGGTCTTTGGTGCTAGGAAGGTTGTGTTGACCCCTGTGAACATCCCAGACAGTGGGAGTAAACAAAAATTGTATAATTCATAGATGTGACATCCCCACTAAAAAGCGCTGAGGGGGATAGTCCTTCATGGGTCAGGGATGGAGAGGATAACTATGAGGCCATGTCTACACTACGGGCACAACGGTAGTGCTGAAGTATAGACACTTGGTACCGCAGCAGAAGGGGTTTTTCCGTCACTGTAGGTAGTAAGTCCACCACCCTGACCGGCAGTAGCTAGGTCAGTGGAAGCACTCTTCTCTCGACCTACCCATGTCTACAGCAGAGGTTACCTTGACTTAGCTATGGGGCTCAGGGCTGTGAGTTCACACCCCTGAGCGCTATAGCTAGGTCAAGGCCTAAGTCTCTAACTTCTGAGTCCATAAGTCACCTTGGCTGGTACAGAGAACCAGTTGACACAGAAATCCCCTTGTGATGCTGCACTAGCATGGAAGCAGATTAAGGAGCTGCTCTGGGCTGCAGTGGACTCTCCCCTCCAGACCAGGCCAGGACTGGAGGAGGAGTTAAAAAGAGGGAACTCTGTTCAGCTAGGGGCAACCCGGGGAAGGGAACGGGCTGTTGTGCTTTCCAGCTCCCAGAGAGGCTGACAGCCAACAGAGCCTCTGCCAGTGCAGGAGGAGGACATGAATCCCTTGAGCTAAGAAGGGAATGAGGCTGAGGTAAGAGAGGCCAATGCCCTGACCAAAGCTGCAGATAGGTTTTCCTTTCTTCCTTTTTCTTCACACTTTGATTTAACCTTGTCTGCTGACTGTGGACAGTTTGGTTTGCTTCACATGGGACCCTCAGAGGAGAAGAAACAGCAAGGAGGTCTCAGCCGGAGGGTTGAGCACCAACCCACAAGAGGGACACATCCCTTCAGCACCGACTGGGATGGGGGCAATTCAACCCACACACTTACACTCCCCAAAAACTCCTAAAGGGGGATTCTGCCACGGACAGATTTGTGACACTCCTATTTTTATTTAATGGACTGCGGTAGCAGTGAGATGTAGTTCCTCTTATTGGCATCTATTAATGCTAAACTTAAAGTTCAGCCTTCAAAATTTGCTCGAGAAATGCTAACTTTATTGCATAAAAACCCCACTGTTTTTCCTCGGTATTTATGTTGTTAGCAGCATGAAAATTGCCCAGGGTCCTACATTTTAAAATGTCCATGTTCAACTGTCAGCAAACATCATCGTCTTAATGGCCTGAGCCATAGAATTCAGATCCAAACTTCTCTGAAGTTCACGAGGCAGGAGTTTGTTCTGGACCCATCTTTACTGAACAGAGGGCAGAATTTTGAAAAGTTCATCTGACCAGCTCCTGTGCATGCAAACTGATTTGTGCTCAAAGACCTGTATTGCCCATGAACCATGGTTTGCACATGTTTATTAATATTTGCATGCACTTTCGAAAATCTAGTCCAGCATGAGCATTATTTGGTTAAAAAGTCTACTGTGTGCCTGTACAGCATCCCAACCTAGATTATTTAAAGGTGCTAGAGGCATATACTTCTATGCATACGTATACATATCAACTGTAAATGTTGCAACAGGTTTACATCAAGGTGCTGTTGATGTTTGATGTCACCAGTGAAAGCACGTGTAATAATGTTCATGTCAAAATTTGCTGAGAGATGTTGATTCACATTTCTCAAATATATTTGAGTTTGGGGAGAAGGTAACGTGTTTAATAGCCTTAAACGTTTTAATGAAGTGTTGTCACAATTGTATAGATGTTGTTGTAAATCAAATACATATTTTATGCAACCTGAGAAGTACAGTTATTTTATCTCTTTTCATCTATAGCAATATCTGATTTTATCCTCCATTTAAAACAATGTGGTGAGTACTCATTGTAGCCATGCTGCTGGCCGATGGACTGAAGCCTTTTCTCTTTCTTGTAATCTCAGAGAGGAAGATTCCAGATGAAGATTACATCATATTAATTGATGGTTTAAATGAAGCTGAATTTCACAAGCCAGATTATGGGGACACCATAGTATCATTCTTGAGCAAAATGATTGGAAAATTCCCATCCTGGCTGAAGTTGATAGTGACAGTCAGGACAAGTCTACAGGTATATTAAGACCATGTTTCTTATTAAACACACAAGCACTGGATTTTTGTCATAATGGGTTTTCTTATTGAAAATCTTAACCAGTGTCATATAGATTTAATTACTGATCTTTTTGAAGTTATCTCATTTAAGTCTTTTTGTAATGGATTCAGATTGCTTTATGTCCCCCCAGACTCTGTCTCTGGCTACTGTTACAGAACAAGAGTCTGATCCTGCACCCTTTACTCATGTCAATAATCCTTGCTCAGCAAGTAGTTCCATTAATTTCAGTAAGACTATTCACATGAGAGAGGACTACTCGCCATCAGAGTGTTTGCAAGACCAGGCCCAAAGTCCATGAGACTGTACTATTATGAAACGGGAGCTTAGCCGTGTATTCTCTCTTAAATGAGAAGAAGCTAGGAGAAGGGATTTCATGCATAACTTCCTCCCATCAGTATGAGAATATAACCATGATAGACTGATTCAGGGTCTGTGTGTTTATTTGATACAGTCTGAAGGAGTCATAATATGGGTCCAAGAAGCTATTTATCTCTATTAAAACACTTGATCTTAGGCAGTTTCTGAGGTTTTAGAGTGAATGTTGCTGACACTGACAATGTAGCTGACAAGTGCTTTTGTCTTAGGTTATATCGACTTCAGCTCAGTTTCTGTTGCTAACATACATTATAATGCTAGTGTCTTCTGGACTCACAACTCAATGAATGCATAGAAGGAAATATATACAATATATGTAAAAAGTCTCTAAGAAGTTAATGAACATCCTCGTTGCTCAGAACTTGTACTGAATTTTCCTCTAGTGTAGTGACAATAGACATTTACCCACCCCACCACAACACACTTAATGTATCCCCTCATTCCCCTTGCATAGGGTGGGGTTTCCAACAGGGGCAACAGAATTGCCTCTCCTAGCTTTATATGGGCAGAGCGTAAAATTCTCTAGGGGAAACCTCCATCTGATTTACATTCACTTTGTGCTGCATGAGCAGTGTAAACTGAACTTACCAGATCAGACTTGCCAGCGCACAATATCTTTGTGATATATAGTAGATGTGCAATCCCACACTATACACATTCAGGAACAGCCCTTTGGCTGAGAAAAGAGAACCCACTGTTGGCTCTGAGCAAATCAACGGCATATATAGTATTATGGAATTCACTGTGCAGTAGGAAATATCTACTAATAACCTTCTATTTAATCAACTGCTGTATGATGCTGAAGACTGCTGCACTCAGCACTCTTTGAGATGTACTAAGCTGTCTGTTTCAATGAGAGGCCTAGAGTCCTGGACCCCACCAGCTTTGGCTGTCCACAGGTGATGCCCTAACCTGGGCATCTGCATGACACAGAAGAGAGCTGATGGCATGTCCGATAGCTGGTTGGGATGGGACTGTAATTTTAAAGGGCACTGCTCTTTGTGAATACTCCAACCTCTTTCCTTGGCAAGTGTGTTAGGAAAAACTTTCCTCAGTTTTATTTCAGCCACCTAGTTTCACAAAGAAACCCGCTACAGTGCTTTTTAGATTGTAAGGTCCGTGGGGCATGGACCATGTCATCTTAGGTATTTGCCCAACACCTCTCTAGGTGCTGATGAAATACAGATGTTTATTTTTATTAATAATAAGCACTTCCAACATGAATAATTTCTTTTCTTTTCTTCCAGGAAATAATTAAGTTGTTGCCCTTCCATAGGATATTTTTGGATAGACTGGAAGAGAACGAAGCCATAGATCAGGACCTCCAGGCATATATCCTTCATCGAATACACAGCAGCTCTGAGATCCAGAACAACATCTCCCTTAATGGCAAAATGGACAACACTACATTTGGCAAACTCAGTTCTCACCTCAAGACCTTGAGCCAAGGGTCCTATCTATACCTAAAGCTCACTTTTGATCTCATAGAGAAGGGCTACCTGGTACTAAAGAGCTCCAGCTATAAAGTAGTCCCAGTCTCTCTCTCAGAGGTTTACCTATTGCAGTGCAATATGAAGTTCCCAACACAGTCTTCCTTTGATCGGGTTATGCCTCTCTTGAATGTGGCAGTGGCATCTCTGCATCCATTAACAGATGAACATATTTTTCAGGCCATTAATGCTGGTAGCATTGAGGGCACACTGGAATGGGATGACTTTCAGCAGAGGATGGAGAACCTCTCCATGTTTCTTATCAAGCGTAGAGACATGACACGAATGTTTGTTCATCCGTCTTTTCGAGAATGGCTTATCTGGAGAGAGGAAGGAGAAAAGACCAAGTTTCTTTGTGATCCTCGGTAAGTAATTGACGTAAAAATATCTGCAGCATTTCACTCTCGCTCATCCTAATAATCTTGTCTCATGGGATTGAATATGGATAAATACAGTACAGACTAAATGGGAGACTTTAGTCCATCATGTCTGCAAAGGCATATAATCTGTCTGGGATAGATGATAAAGCGATGAAAATCAAACAACATACACACATCTATATACAATGAGCCCGATTCAAAAGCCATTCTGTTCATGGAACTCCCATTGAATGACTTCTGAATGCAGAATCAGGCCCCACTGTGGTTTTGGAGTGTGAATTCATGTTTAAAGGACACAGTGACCATCTGATAAATTATTATTGTGTTCCTGGCATAGCTATTGTGAACATAAGTTATATCAAATCACTATTAGACTTTATAGTCTGTTTAAATGCACTGATAGCATGAGAATACTACTACACTATTAAAAATGTATCTTCTATCTTTCAACCTCAGATTGGGTACAGGTGTTGTCTTCATCATTTTAGTCATCCATCCCAACAGTTCTAGTTTCACTTATATTAGCCCGTTCCCTGAAACAGATATATAAAAATTGGGAAAGTCATTCATATTCTGAGCCCCTGCAATGCATCTCCTTGAACCTGCAGTCAGTACATAGTGATAGTATCTGCTGAAACTGAATATTCAGCCAAGGTGACAGCCACTCTCCTCGTTAAAGCAAGTTGTTGCCGTTATCAGTGTCACGGTAAAGAATATATTTACCACCTCAGGTATGGAGCTTCTTGGTAAACAGGATTTAGTAGAAAAAATAACATACAGCTGTTCCGAGTGGAAATCCTGGCTGCTTTAGTAGATTTCTGCACAGCTCTCCTGTTACTTGGCCTTTGCAATGCATCTTCCCCCTCTCTGCAGTTATCTTTATATCAATGTTAATTATTTACATGTTATATCTTTCCTCCGAGTCATTAAATACTTCTCACCATGCAATGCTTTTCCCACCATGGCTTTCACCATAGTTGTCTGCTATTTGCAAAGCCATTTAAATGCATGTCTCTCATTTATTTTTAATCCTAGCCTGCTGTACTGAAAACATTCTCCCTAATATCCACTTGTGTTTAGCCCAGCTGCTTTCTGACCATAGTAATTTTTGACTGGATGTACACAATTTCATCAACTAAGATGTGAATCTCTAATGCACCCGCTACTAATTACTTTACTGTTTTATCACAGATGGGACAAAACTGGGGGTTTAGGTGCAAGCTTTGATACTTGCTGTTGATAACTAGTCACGGCATACATTTTGCATGAAAATAAAAACCATTTTCTTCCTTCTCTACCCAAATAAAGTAAAGTTAACCAGAGCACATCGGATGGATTAGGCATCAATTTTTTTTACACTGTGTATGTGCCGTAGTAATGAGGCACATGTGTAAATGTGAGCAGTTTTGATTCTCAGGATCCCAAGAACGTCCTTCTCCTTAGTTTTGGTCCACATGGGTTTATGCCTTCTGAATGTCCCTTTGATCTCCAAGCTTGAATGAACTCACAAACTCAAAGCAAAACTCAATCAAAACTGCTGTTTCACCAGGCTGTGCACTGAAACCATGCACAGCCAGAAATTTCACATGGTTTTAGCATGAAATCATAAATCAGCCATGGTTCACTCTGAAGGTAACAAACAGTTTGGGCTGAGGTTCCGGTTTCATGCAGTTTCGTAACCTTTATGCACAGTGTGAATGTTTTGCACAGGCTTCACAACTAACACACGTCATCTGGAGCTTTGAATCCCTGTACTGTAATGATGTTGATCATCTCAGTTATTGGACTTTCCCTGACCTTGAGTACAGATGCCTGACAGGTGCAGTGTCATGAAGTTAATTCTTACTCATATAGTGAGGGAAAACCAATTCCTGTATTGTTTCAACCTTCCCGCGTCACAGAACTTGCCATTCAGAGCTCAGACAACCTGTAATACTGAGAGATTCATTTCTATGGGCTTTCAGGCATCAGTTTAGTCCCGAATTTACCATCTTAAACAGATGAAGCCATAAATGACTGTAAAGGGGGAGGAAAAAACCTTTTGTAAATGTGAAATCCCAGACCAGAGCTAGCCAGGCTTCTCTCACTTCCAGTAATTTTTGCCAGAGGCAAAGATGAAGCGCTCTGATGGACTGAAACAGAAACGATAAGTAATACTGGTTCCTGTGTCCATACCTACTGAAGGACTATTAAAAACCTCTAATGCATTATGTGTGCTAATTGTATCAGATCCTGATAGAGAGAGAACATGGCTGAGGTAATATGTTTTATTGGACCCACTTCTGTTGGTGAAACAGACAAGCTTTTGAGCTACACAGCGCTCTTCTTCAGGTCTGGGAAAGGTACTTCTATTCATGGCAGGTAATAAAAGACGGTACATCTCAGTCATCAATAGATAGCGCCCTGGAGAGTTAGCTATTGTGTGATGTAAGTCTTCCTGTCCCGCTCTCGGGGTAGAGCTGATGTTGAATGTTGAGCTCAGAGCTAGGTAAGCCCTCATCAACAATTAAGATGAAAAATCACCATGTATTTTCACTACATTAATGGGAGCACAGCTTGCCACTGATTTGACTAATAATAGGACAAGTGTGTGAAAACTTGCTTGCATTTTGTTTGCTCACAGTGAGCTTGATTTTTCCCCCGGTAAAAAGGGAATTGAAAAGGTGTGGTAGCTGTGTGAAGCACTGTTTAGTTCCCCTGTGCTGAATTTCAGAAACAAACAGCTAAACCTAGGCTTGTTGACTTTGCAGAGAGCTACTGTAGAGATAGTGGTTGCTGAGGCTGATTCTCTCATGAGAATAGCTTTGAAACTGAAGTGTGACCATGTGAAACAGCTCTTAATTGACTTTCCCTGACAGAAGTGAACAGATTTGGAGGATGTTATGGAGGAAATTGAGATAATGGGACCTGGGTCAGGAGCACTGCAGCTGGGATGGTCTTTTTCCTTCCATTAATAAGACTGGAACATCCATTGTCCCATCCTCTCAGCAGTACAGAAAAGGAAAAACAAACAAAAAGGCTAAGTATTGTACTCAAATTTAACACATGCTCTTCTAGCTACATACAGTCAAGCAACAAACCTCCTGCCCTCCAGATTTTTGTTTTAGCCTGTTGTGCTGCTAGCCTTCTTCTTCCCTGAATGCTCAGCGTGAGCTTTCTAACCAAAGCAAAGGCTAATTGGCATTGAAGGGAAACACTATCATTCTAGATTCTCCCACAAGGGAGCCCCTCAGCGCTGACTGTTTAATAATAGGACACAAGAAAAGCTTCTGCCTGATATTTTAACCAGCATTGTAACCAGTAATGACTTCTGCAGACTGTCAGTGTAGCACTGTTAGCCAGTTGTATTATTTGACATATAATATAAAACTATATACAGGGAGACCATTTTTAAAGGTTTATGTACAAGGGGGGCAAACTTATCATTGTGCATGTATCGTTACCGCTGCACTCCTGGACCTAAACATTGCTATAATGCTAAAGCATTTTTTGCATAGACTTTTTATTTTAGAACCTTTCCTGCAATGATTTCAAAGCATTTCCCAAAATTAGGAAGGAAGGTGCTGTCATCTCTGTTATAGATGGGGGGAAACTGAGGCTCAGAGAGTTGAAGTCAGCAAAGCACTGGGAGTCAAATGTAGACCCCAGGTCTCCTTACTCCTTGTCTGCCTCTAAAGCCACATCAAACATGTTCAGAGTCTTTCAACTAGAGTCTCCTTTTTTCTTTGCCTATGTTGATCTCAGCAAAGATAAGGAAGGGACAAGGTAGGCTGGTAGCTTCCTTTGCATCCCCTTAATTCTGGCTCTGGCCCCTGGGGCTGCACTAAATTGCCCAATCTTGTAATCTCTCTCTATGGGTCACTGCTCCAGTGTAGAATAGCTGGCGACATTCCCTTTTTCTCCTGACAACCCCCAAGCCTGGGAGGAGACTGACTTAGAGTCGTCATTCCAGCTCTGTGCTGGTCAGAGAACGCTCCCACACACCCAGTTATACCACTGGAGCTGTGTAAAGAGGTGTTTAGGGTAAGGGAGCATTTGGGCCTTCACCCAGGGCTGGATTAACCCATAACTGGGCCCTAAGCAAACAGAAACTTCTGGGCCCCTCCTTCGACTCTGAATAACAACAGACAGCTGATACATGGAGAGAAGGGGAAAAAATACACTTCAGTGATGTTCCCTCTCATACATGCCATGGCAGTAAATTCCCATCCCAGCCTGTTCACTTGCTGCTGTTAGAGAAGGAAGTGGTTTCTTTAACCAGTGGCCCCCTCTCTCCTTGGCTCCATTGGGAACAGCAAAGACTATCTCTGCCCACTCATCCGCTGATGCGGGAAACTTCCCTCACCTGAGTGAGCAGTGTTGCAACCTGGCACATGGGGTTGCAACAGCACACAAATTTGGCCCAGCCACCCCCCCCCACCCCCGCCATGACACGTGCCGGTCACAATGCCACTTACTCAAGTGAGTGAAGCTCTTTCAGTTCATGAATTGGTTAAAATAAAATAAAATCCACCCTCCCCCATCCCACACACATATTTAGGCCCTACGCACATGCCTAGTTTGTGTATGCATCAGCCTGGTTCTGCATTCATCTCATAATAAAATGCTCTCATAGTACACCTCTATCTCGATATAACGCGACCTGATATAACACGAATTCGGATATAACGCAGTAAAGCAGCGCTCCGGGGGGCTGCTCACTTCGGCGGATCAAAGCAAGTTCGATATAACGCAGTTTCACCTATAACGCGGTAAGATTTTTTGGCTCCCAAGGAAGCGTTATATCGGGGTAGAGGTGTATAACTGTTCAGATTAAAAACAGTGAAAACTACAGAGGTCACAGCTTTGCTCCTGTACAGTGAGAGCCCCAGAAGGGAGTGAATTGCTGTATGATCAAAAGTGTTACCTCCTTCCAGTAACTACTATGTTGTATAGGCAAAGCAGAGTTAGGAAATCTCAGCTGCATTTGTATTCATTAAGCTTGG